TGAACGAAATGACAATAATACGTTCGCTTATACAACAACACTTCATCTTGGTCAAACTCATTAGAACACAGAAAGCTCACACGAGGAATTATGAGCAACACCAAAAAGTAAAAAATACAAAAAACACATTTTTATCTGTGGAAATGTTCCATTTAACTTATGCGCCCTCGACGACTCCTACTTCTTTCTGCAGATCTGCCGTGTTGTACACAAAGTGGCAGCCCCCAAACTAGTACGTTTACTCAGTTGTATTGTCTCAATACGGAAGATGTTCCCCTTTTGGAAGATGTCGATCTAAACAGCTGCTCTTTCACCCAAGATCACAACGGTGCACAAAAATTTGATGATATTAAAACATCCAAAACTCATACTGACTTGAATAAGTCGTATTAGATGGTCTCCGTGGCTTCATTATTCCAAAGTTTAGCTTATTCCGAAGGGACTCAACTTCGACCGATCTTGAGGAATCCAAATTCAGCAACAGACTACCACAGATAGCAGCAGTCTGTTATATACATTTTCGTGAATTCCACAAATTTCCACAGCTTTGAAGGTTTACAGATACAAAGGCTTACTTTTAGCGACCAATAAAAAATCCATATAATTGTATTTCCACACTTGAGTCACCTGGTTGAGGGATTTTTGTCCACCGTTCTGCTCTGAGGACGTTACTTGAACGTGTAAGACATCCATCAGAATAGTAAAATAGCAGAATCAAAATAATCACACACATTAACCGCATGGAGTGACGACAAGTATTTATGAAATTTTCGAACTCTGAGACGCAAAATCTTAACGAAGACCAGCTGTTAAGGAGGAGTGTGGACGGTATTTACTTATTGAACGGTGGAAACAAACATTCACTCTTGTTGCTTGCATAGAGCAGAGAGGGAGGCGTCTAAAAGAAGAGGGAATTAAGATTTTCGGAACATTACTGAGATTCTGATTAATCGAGGAGGGTGAGATCTGGACGAAATTAAACAAAGAAAAACGACTTATACTACAAATGCGAATTAGAGACCTAGTGAAACAGACATGAATCTGCCTTGGACAAATTTTTGGCCCATTGTCGCGTGTATATTGTTATGACAACCGCAAAGGCGCACTTTTAAACGAGCAAGACGCATGAAGAATTCAGATTACCGGGGGTATTAGGTCTCACTTAACATCCACGAGATTTCTAGGAGAGTATCTAAAGTTGATGGAGACAAAATAGAGGAAGAAACGAGGCATTTAGCACGTATGCTCCAAGAATTTAAAAATAATGTCGCAAAGAAGCGAGAAGTTAGGTGAGTGGGTGGTGTATATATGCATGTGTATAATAGCCGAAGTGGCTTTTGGGAATCCGCTAAACTTGGTTCGACTAAAACTGTAAAGCAACAGACACCTGTGCGGAACGTAAGCCTTATATAAATGCTAAATCAAACCGTTTTAATAGTTCACGAAAATACGAGTTTTAACAGCCGAGGAAAACGGTTTGGTTCGGCCTAAAGTTTGAATATGTTTAGCCAGAACAACCCAGGAGCTTAAACTCCCCAAGAAACACGGAGGTTTTTAATGTAAGTTCTTCCACTTCTGAACCGGATACCGATGTATGTGGTCAATGTGAGAGGATATTTGCTGTTGTCGTAAGTCGTAGTAGTTGTATTTAATTGGCCAAAGTTATGCCAAGAATGTGGTGAGAGGTTCTGCGCCAAATGCTTTGCTCAATTTCATATGAAGGGAGCACTAAAGAAGCATCACTCGGTGATGATACCAGTAAGATCTATCCTTACTCTATATTTACTCAAGGCTTCACACAAACGCTTGGAAAAGAATCAGGATAAAAAAGCTTCGGTAAATAACGAAGATGATGCACGGGACAATAAAGTACTTACGTCCGAAGGGGTACAAACAAGGGAACAATCAAAGGTTTTTGTAAGTAAATGGGATATAATATCTTCCTAAGAGGCTATTTTTGTAGTCTATTTAATTTGATCATCTTTTGTTGATAGAGCGGAAGGAATTACTAACACCTTTTGGATAGGGTACCAAAACAAATTAAACAAATTAAAATTTTTTCGTACTATGTTTGTCTGCCTATCAAAGCCTTACTTGATTTTATATTTTGCTTCAAAAAGGATACTATAATTCTTATTCCATCCCGTGGCGCTGAGTCAGACAGCATCAGCTTTTAGTGCATGCTACAGAACAGCAAAGAAATCAAACTTTGCGGGAATCTTAAAATTTGATGTGCAATTAATTATGAATCCGTAGTTACGGCTGATTTATTTGGAACTTTTAGATAACTAATATTCGGTGTTTTTGTAAAAGGTTTGAAAATTGGAAAGTATTCACCCTTTTCATACAATTGTGGCATACAAATTCAATCAACTTTAGGTCACTTTCTTTACAAATGCACTTATTTCCACACGTTTCATGACGGTCTATGATAACGCCATAATGGCGATGATATCTTGTTTCTGTGCGGTAACTGTGGTCTTTGGTACATTCTTTAGTGTAATTCGACCAGTTTTGGTCAAAATCAAATAAAGGAAATCCAGAGAATTCATGATAACACATTTAACTACCGGTTAGGCTTCCAACAAAAAAAGCAACGGAACAGTATTTTATTCAATTTAAATCCACCAAAGGCAGTCGAAGAGATTTCTTACTGGATGCCATGAGATAGGGGCGGTTTTGGATAAAGATACATTTTGGTAAAGGTTTAACTAAAACGCAAAACGTAGTAGACAACCTATATTAGCTCATGGAGTTAAGAAGCTACATAACTGCGAGATTGGTCATCCAAACCTAGAAAAGTAGGACATGGACGGAAGAGTAACGGTTTTAGTTACAAGGCTGAGCTCGTGTAAACTTTGCAGAACCACAATTAGACACGGCGTTTTTGTGCCAAGCAGCTGAAAATGTAACTGCGCAATCGATTCAGTTTTCAAAAAATATTCATCACTTGGGCAGCGTATGACAGCCGTAGGACCTAGCATTCACCAGTCACCAGTACCTCGTGGAAGTACCGCTATTTGGTCACTTTCCGCAGACAAAAAAGACGAAAGGTCAGGCTGCTATGGCCCTGAGCCCATTGGCACCCCACGATACTCGCACTCAGTTGGTATCCAAAGCACCTTCTCTACTATTTTAGTGAAAATGTGATCCAACTTGCGCGTACCAGACAACTGCGGCTTGCACAGATGTGTTACTTAATTTGTTTCAGCCACCGTGTCCGATTCCGCTTACAGTTGTCCCGACTCTATCTCGCAAGCATCACATGTGGGTGCGGCAGGGGCTAGTACTGTAGATGCAGCGCATGTATCCTATCACTATACACAAACTCCCATGCAAATCGCAGTTGGTGCGTCCATCCTGTTATGGGGCTCACAATGGACGTCGCTGCTACCGGTGTTTCCACTGAACAAACATCGACCGGTCCGTTTTGTCATTTAATACTAAAGCCAGGTATGACAGACCTCCACAACACCATTAGCAACTAGTGTGTTGCTGCGTGCAAAAGCACCTTCTGAGCAGTAGAACTTGCAGATCACGCGAATGAGCTTTGGACTCGACGGAATCTAGAGATGCGTTAATTAGTATATATCCACAACGGGCACCCAGAAGCTGATAAAACATCGAAATAAGTCTTACCTTGGATAAGACTGCAAATTACTAGGTGCATTGACGGAGGAATACAAATTGGCACCTATGTGGATTGTAAATGTTGCCCTGCATCTTTCTGCAATGAATGAGAATACGAAATGGATTTTTTGTTGTTTCGAAGCCAGTTTTATTTTGTTGGTATTGGTGTTCGGTATGCTGTTCTTCCCAAGATGCATTTAGGCGGGACTACTGGAGTAAAGATAATGATGTCCAAACTTTGCTCAGCAATTAGCTGTGTGATCATAGATAGCAAAGTAATCTGCTAGCAAAGAAGAAATGGATGTTTTCTTGTATCTTTACGACAATTCGACCGTCGATTCTGACGATGTTCAGATGTGGGGACTAACGCTTAGATTAGTTTCGGAGGATTATAGACTTGCGATGCATTTACCTCACACCACTTACCTGCATCCGCCTATGATTGATGTCAAGACAGGGCCAGGAAGATCGGAGGTGGGATCGGACGCAGGCAGCTGGAGTCATCAAGCCTGACTCAGATCTCACGGAGTTGATGTGCAATAGAGATCACGGGAAGTTTATGCCTGAGTCTGCATCTACGTATGCTACAAACGCCCCCACCATTATCTGCCATGTTCGACGTTTATTATGGGAGCGCAATTCGAACAACGTCTGCTGCAGTCTGATCAGGCCCTGGTGTTGTTCCGGCGTATCTATCACACGGCCCGTTTAAGAGAGACTGCATACTTACAGATCGCTCAAAAATTAAATATAGTCTTTGTCTTCCGGGAGCCGGCACTCGAAGCGGAATTAAGAAGCACTCAGTCCACGCGGGCCTTAGTATTGCCTTAGCGTATAAGCGACGCTACTATCGCCCCTCCTCCTCCTCACAGGGTCTTTCGTAACAACGTCACTACCACAAATACAATCGGCAACAGTAGCTGCTTATATTGTGCAGCTACCCCTATCTGCTACTGCTTATATTTCTAATGAAGAATCCACGACGGATCTCGAAACGTCATGCGAATAAAATTGTTGTCCCAGCGATTGAGTTGTCTTCTTCTCTAGATAGTGTAGCCTCAATGCGAATTCATATATCCTTGGCGGAAGTAGACATGCCTGAGAAGAGGCTGCGATCTTATTCGACCCAATATCCGTTGAAAGTTATTCCGTATATCTCTTAGACTGTAATCTCAAGGATTTCTTCGACTGAGCACATCCATTTTAATCTAATAGTATCCCCTTTTTTATACGCAGTTAAAAAATACAGCCTTCCTGCTGTCAGTTGTTTGGTGATAATCTGACTAGGCGTTCTTAACACTGTCTTATATCTAGAGTCATCTTAGCCGTTCATGAGACTTTGCTTCCTGAAACTCGTATTTGAGGAATTCAACGGCACTAAATTTAGTTTTAAGCCCAGACAATGACCATCAGAGCGTGTTCCAGGCAGTTTGTTTCTGATTAGATATAGCAACCAGACAACGTTTAAAACTTAACCTATTTGATCTAAACTATTTCCGAAAGAATGCGCTGAGAGTGTCCTACCTGAAAGAAAACGTATTTTTCTTGTAGGTATCCAATGAAAATCAAACGGAGACTTGCTCAACTAGCGGTAAGGCAGAGAAAAGGCAAGAAGATTCTCCTAAGGAGACGTGCGTTGGAACAGACCCCATCCTGCAACATCCAACAGTGAATCCATCTTTCATTTTTGCTCCTAGTTCTTTGAGCTATGCAGAACGCTTGCTTCTACAAAAGAACAGGCTTCACGAGCTTCCAGCATTTAGTCCAATAAATGTCATTCCATCCGTTCCTACAGCTAGTACCACGGAGGAGGAAGGTAGAGAAATTGGTAAGATCTCCATTTTTAACCTGTTAAGATATTTTCAAGTCGGTTATTACTTACTGTTTAGGTCTGTTACACTTCTGTCACTAAAAGGAAACCCTCACGGATACGTTGTTTAATTTTGTGAAAAACAAAATCGAGAAGCTTTTGCAAAAGTTTTTTTTATCCATAGTGCTCCCATCTATGTTTTGAGAGAAGTTAAATGTCCCGATCCATGGTGCACGAACCAGTCATTGTGGCAAACGTAGATGGGCTACTAAGCTTCCCCAGGAGGTTGCTCCGATGTCAAGAACGTTTTTCATATCGTTTTAACTTAAACAAAAATAATAACTACTGATCGAGTTGTTATAACCACAGTACCGATGCTAGTTAAAAGCCTAGGCACATATTTTTGTCCATTTTATGTTAATTTTTTAATTGTGAAAGGTTTGAGAAGCTTTTCTAAAATATATTTTTTTAAATCCTTACTGTTCACATTGAAATTCTGAGAAATATAAATGCCACTGAAGATATTGTAGGTGAAAATGAGACTTAAAATTTTCACAGAATACAGCTGTGTTTGAGTACTTTAATTGTATTTGTTACAAAATATCGAAATCTTGCCAGACGAAAGGTAGCCTAAGGCTAGAAGCTTATAAAAGAGAGTATCCAGAAGGTCAGCTTCTCAAGGCTGGAAACAACCTAATAGGAGTTAAACGGTAGGGGCAATCTTCTGAAGAATTCGGCCGATGGACAGAGGAATAATGCATGGTATAGGGAAAATTAAGTGAGGTCAACTCATTCCATTTCTTCACTAAAATAAATTCTCTATCTCATGAAATGCCATCCATAATTCTGAAATGCATTTTCAATTCGAATTACTTATTTACGTACCCTTATTACGCCGATTATCGTGCAGCCTACTCACAAGATATTTCTGTCAGGTCCAGAAACCGGCTTTTAAAGGAGGTTATTTATGGCCGTCTGTAACAACATATTCTGCAACATAAATGACTACTTAAGCAATACCTATTTTTAGCCGATAGACCGAGAATAAAGCTTGGGAAAGGGAAAAAAATGTGATGTATAATCTGACTATTACCCCTTAAAGTACATTTCCTATCTGCAAAACTGATAAACCTGCAGTTTATCTAAATACATTCCATTCACGGTGGAATGCCGGCTTTTCAAGGAGCTTCCTACTGACCGCTTACAAAAAGCATATTCTGCAGACAATTACTATTTAGGTAATTGCAGTAGTCGCCGGCTATTAAGCCCACCTCGGGCCCAGACCAAATTGGGCTTAATAGGTGGCGGACGCATTAACCGGAGAGTCCTAGCTCTTGATTAGCAAACGCAGGATAGGCACTATACATTACATACGTACTGTATTATGTGTGGAGCTTCGTTATGTACAAGAAAAGAATGCTGTTTGTCTGTATTTTTGAGACCTAGGGAGGCTAACCAGACGACCTTGGTATGCTTTGGGGCACGCCTGTCGGCATAGTCTAGCGTGAGCCTGAAAGCGTTGCTCCCTTTGTGTGTGTGTGTCCTCAGCGCTGCGGTTTTTGTGCGTTAGCCTTTTGCGCCTGCGGCATTCTCGTATTAGGGATTTGTCCTTTTGCGCCTTTTGCGCCTGCGGCTTTCTCGTGTTAGGGATTTGTCCTTTTCACCCCCTCATGTCTGCGCTGTCCGAAAAGGGTGTCACCAAATTTAACTTGAAAAATGAAAACAAATCATCGGCAAATTGGGCTTTGTAGCCGGCGACTGGGCTTATTAGCCGGCGATTGGGTTTATTAGCCGGCGGATTTTGCTATGTAAAATTCAGTCCCAAGCTGATGTGGGCTTAATACGCGGCTGGGCTTATTAGCCGTGGGCTTGATAGCCGGCGACTACTGTATGCATTTTCCCATTTATTTTCATTGCGCTTATAAATTCAAATATATTTTTTAGAAAATAAAAGCAAACATTATTATTTCTATGTTATATTAGTAGTATTCCGGCAAGGCAGAAGACAATCCTAGAATATGTATTTCTGGCTATTGGCCGTCATCAAACAATTATTATTTCTTGTATTCGTTTGGTAGAAAATCAGGCCGTCTTCAAATTTTATACTCGAAAAAGAGTATCATTCGGTTTTGGAAAAAGTTTATAATCGGGAGATTCTTCATCACCATGCAATGCGCATTCATAAAACAACGCATGTATCCACATATTTATGCTGCTGTAAATTATAGAACTTGGTCCACATCCATTGAAAAATGTTGATGATAACTAAATGACTTCTTCCTCACCCTGTGGGGAAATATTTACTTTTCCTTAAATAGAATATATACCTTGAATCCAGGTGAATAGCCGGTAGAGTTCAAAATTGTTCAACAATTTAGGTTTTTTCTTAAATCAAAATATTCCCCTTCTTCAAGTATATATATCCCTACGGTATGAGGAGGAGGTCACATATGTCTCAAAATTTTTCTATGGAGTAGGATAGTATTGTATATTTTAAAGAAAAATTAGAAAAATTGACGGGTACGATATATTGTATATGAACCTTTCACGGCTGTACAAAATCTTATCATTAAAAACTGTTCTAAAAACCGAAAGATACTGTCTTGACATATGAAATTCAAAAAAGGCATAATTTTCTACTAAATGAGTACAAGAAAGGATAGTTATGTACATGCTTTTTCTTAAATATATTTCAATTTATAGGGACAGTGAAAAGCAATGAAAATAATGCATATTACTCAAGTAGCCCTTTTTACAAAATTTACTTTTTGTAGATGGTCAGAAAAAAAATCTCGTTCGAAGTTAGCATCCTGAAGTGACCGTTATATGTTTAGATTAGGCTGTACGGTAATCACCTATATTTCATTGTGTATATTCGCGACTGAAACCGGCAAAGCCACGACACTCTGACGCAGTGGTTAGAGCGTTTGACTTCGAAGCAACATGGTCTCGGTTTCGGACCTCGTGTGTCCATACTCGTGGGGTTCGATATGTTTAACCGATGATGGCTACTAAGCCAGAAATCGCCACTCCAGTCTCCATGGTCTTTGTGGCTAATGCACTTCTGCTTAAAATATGCTAGGCGTTCAGCAACTGCTGGCTGAGCTCGAGAGCAGGCTCCAAGGCACAACACCAGACGAGTGAGTTCCGTAACGGATCTGTGAAGGCCTATCTACCATAATGCATTATACAGGGTGTCCACGAAGTCTCGGTACATAGGGTATAAATAAATGCCTTTAGAACAAAACAATTTAATTTAATTATAATGTCAAAAAATTATATTGTCAATATGATTTCCATTATTTGAAATGCATAATTCGATGCAAAAGTGCAAGTCAGTCACACAAAAAGGCTCCAGGTTATTTATTCAGTGCGCATAGCGAGGAGGCGTCAGTATTCACGGTCGAATCAGATAGGACGGAAAATCGATAATTATTGACGCGTTGTCAAGTCACGGCGTGGGACTTTGCGCTGCAGCTGCGCTGAGAGTCTAAGCGCAGTTGAATAATCATGGGACTCTGCCGTCCCAACAAAAATAACATAAATAAATAGAATATTAAAATTCCTATGTACCCAGACTTTGTGAACACCCTGTAGTACAAGTCCTCATCCCTGCGCCGACGTTGTCGTTGGACACAGGATGGACGTTTTAGTTCTTGTTGGATAAATTCTGACACAGATTTTCTTTTTACCTAGATGTATCTCCAGACTGGTCAGACAAGGAGGAAATCCCCAGTGCTGAGTCGCTCTATCAACTGTCTCAAATCTCTCTGGCGGATTACAAGAGCAACATGTTAGAGGTCAGTAACACGGATCCGGTGTTTGCGGTCGAATCACACGCAGACCCCCTGACGGACAATGCAAGAGTTGATGTTGGTGATGCGACTGAACTCAGGCTATACGCGGAATCACACGTTGAGGAAACAATCAAGTAATTGCCCCCTCAGTTGTTATTTTGCTCTGTGTGAAACGATATCATGTATACGTCTCTGCAACTGTATTTGAATGAAGAACAATGCAGTTGCAGACTAATAAGCATAAGATGCAACTTTTGGACCAAGAAAATTACTGGCCTGAAGCCAGCATTAGGAACTGTCTCAGAAGTGTATTGGGGGCACAAAA